TAATAATAATAATAATAATAAAATTACAAAAAAATACACAAAATCCCCAATTCAACATTTCCATAATCCACCATCACATTTTTTCCTCTATAAAAGCTATAAAATCCACCACAATTCATTGCTCCCAATTTTATTACATATTTTCCTAATTATCTGCTAACAACATAAACAAAATCTACATCTATAAATATATCAATATCCTCCTCTCATCAATCACTGATTTTTTTTCCCCAATTTGCTCAATTTTGACCTAATTATTTCTTTTTCCCCCTTTTTTTTCTGATTGTTTTGATTTTCCATCTGAACAATTTAGAACCGATCTTCAACGATGAAGGAGATGTGGACGACGATGGCGTCGATAATGGGCGTGTGGGCCTTCTTTCAGAGCCTCCTCCACACCGTCTTCCCGCCGGAGCTCCGGTTCGCCGCCCTGAAATTCCTCCACCGCATCTCCGGCTACTTCTCCTCATACTGCTACTACGACATCACCGAGATCGACGGCGTTAACACGAACGAGCTGTACAACGCCGTCCAGCTCTACCTGAGCTCCTCCGCGTCCCTCGCCTCCGGCACCTCGACCCGGCTGAGCCTCACCCGCGCCCTCAACTCCTCCTCCATCACCCTCGGCCTCTCCAACAACGACCGCCTCTCCGACACCTTCCTCGGCGCCCCCGTCGAGTGGGAGCACGTCGTGGTCCCCCGGCAGCCCCAGTCCTTCTCCTGGCGGCCCCTCCCCGAGGAGAAGCGCGGCTTCACCCTCCGCCTCCGCAAGCGGGACAAGCGCCTCGTCCTCGGCCCATACCTCGACCACGTCATGGAACGCGCCGCCGACATTCGCCGCCGCAGCCAGGACCGCCTCCTCTACACCAACTCCCGCGGCGGCTCCCTCGACGCCCGCGGCCACCCCTGGGAGTCCGTCCCCTTCAAGCACCCCTCCACCTTCCACACCCTCGCCATCGACCCCGACAGAAAAGCCCAGATCATGTCCGACCTCTCCGACTTCGCCGCCGGCGAGTCCTTCTACCAGAAAACCGGCCGCGCCTGGAAGCGCGGTTACCTCCTCTACGGCCCCCCCGGCACTGGGAAATCCAGCATGATCGCCGCCATGGCCAACTACCTCGGTTACGACATCTACGACCTCGAACTCACCGAGGTCAACACAAACTCCGAACTCCGAAAGCTCCTCATGAAAACCACTTCCAAATCCATAATCGTCATCGAGGACATCGATTGCTCCATAAGCCTCACAAACCGCAGCAAAACCAGCAATCCCGGCGGCCCACGGAAGACCGGCGGCGGCGGCCTCGACACGCCAGGTGACGACTGCGGAGCAAACACAAACACCAACACAATCACGCTTTCAGGGCTGCTCAACTTCACGGACGGCCTTTGGTCGTGCTGCGGGAGCGAAAGGATATTCGTGTTCACGACCAACCACATCGAGAAGCTGGATCCGGCGCTGCTGAGAAGCGGGCGGATGGACATGCATATCCACATGAGCTACTGCACGTTGGCCGCGATGAAGATACTGCTGAGGA